GTTTACCTGTCCACAACGGTTATTAATGCACAGCAAAGAAGATTCCAACTCTACCATTTAGGAGTACGTTCTGTATTTTCAAGATATTGATTGTGCGTCGTATCAGGTTAACGAGTAGTGGACACTGGCTATGTTCAAGGGCACACAATTCAAGTTGGATGTAATACTAATTATCCTGATTAGCACTAAGAATGACCAGACTGTTGATAGGGATGCACATGCACCCGTATATTTGGCCGCCCCAGCTGTTTTGGATTCGTCTTTAATGTCCACTCACGTTGACTTCATGTAAAGCCTGGGATCTTAATTCTCACTAAACGCACTAAAGTCGGAAGCCAAACACAGTGATAGGGAAACAGGCGCGTCATCGAATAAATTAGTATTCAGGTCAACAGTATGCCATCCAGTCGGCGTAAGCAGGATCGCGCTTTCCGATTTGCACCGAAATCCCACGATGTACCATCAGTGTGGCTATAAGTTAGTGTGGCCCAGCTCGCTTTTGCGGCCTACTCTTCTGTTTACTAGATATGCTTCGCCCAGACACATGTTGTCCTCCCCCAATCGTGGTACTCAGTAGTGCATTACCGAGCATGTTACTGGATTTAAATAGCTCTCGTCTGAAAGTTCCTGTGCGCAAATGTACGTTCTCGGTCTTTAAACGGATGGGCTTTTCGACGTTTCCCTTTCAGTCACTACTTCATCTGAAGGAAGGTGAATGTCATCAACTTCGTCGTGATCTTGAACGGCTCACTCAAATAAGAGAGACACTTTTGGCAGAGATCGCTTCTTTAACAGCCCGGTCGGAACGTTTGGCCCGGATGTCCGGTATATCTCCCGACCAAGAGTCTTCCAGTTTCGTACCGGGCACCCATCTGGACGAGATGGAAGAACTGCAACATCGATACGATTCTCTTTTGGTTATTTTCGGCAAGGTGAAGGAAGAAAATCTGGAACTGCGAATGGACTTAGCCGATATGAAGGAAATGTACAAAACACAAGTAAGCAGCTGCTCTTTGTGTTTGGAATTCGAATGAAGAGGCTTTGTGTATTGTGGGATTCACATTTGGTAACTTACCTGCAGCCTGTGCGTGACGTGATTGGTTGGCGTCCGAATAGGATCCTCTGGTCAACAACAGCTTATTTACTGAACGCTTGCACAGAGCTGAATATGGCACTACTTCCAAGCCGTAGTATGCGCTGAATTTACCTGTCACTCATGGATGTCAAAAAATCCCAGCTCCTTTCGCCGGCATCATCTCAAACGAATATTTTTCCTATACCTGTCGGACAACAACTACAGAGCCCAAAGATAGAACCAGCGGGTTATGCT